ACCTAATTGGTCATTTTTAACCTTCACAGTTTAATTTTAAAATTTTGTTCAAGTGCACTGCAAAGCCGGTGGTAAGTTTGCTTGCCACAAATTCGGCAAGCCGTCTTGAATGCCAAAACATGGCAAGTTTGTCCTGAAAATACCATCCAGCTTGCCAAAATTTGGCAAGCTTGTGAGGATTTCTGACCAAAGCTTGCCAAATTTTGGCATTCAAAACGGCTTGCCAATTTTGTGGCAAGCAAACTTACCACTGGCTTTGCAGTGAGCTCCCATTGATGACACCTAATTAGGCATTTTTAATCTTCATAATTTAATTTTTTTTGTTCAAGTGTAAGTGCTCCTCCCTGAACGCCACCACGGGCCTGGATCTGCATGTCCGGGACAACACCGTGTTCTCGGGGGTCAACGCCTCGGCGGCGAGTTTGCAACAAATTGGCGTAATAAGGACACCGGCCGGCGATGGAGAATGCCGTCATTATATGGCCAGGCAAGGCAAGGCTCGGACGTCCAGGCCGCCGCCACGCCCACTGCGAACACGGACACCTCACCTAGTCGCAGTGCCGGGCCGCAAGGCCGGGCCTTACCAGCGCCAGATGACATAACTTGCAGTTCGTTGGTGTTTGTTAGATTTGAGGGCACTTTTCCCGACAGTCCCCCGTGCAACGACCTCAAGAAGGCGAACTGTTACCAACAAGAAAAGCACTGAAAAACCAAACGTGGTCTAGACCACACCAACTGGGTCAAATGGGTGCCGTTTTGACCGCATCAGTTGGTGTGGTCTAGACCACGTTTGGTGCGAAAGACCATACCAGACGTGGTCTAGACTACACCAAACGTGGCCAAACGTGGTCTAGACCACACCAACTGATGCGGTCAAAATGGCACCCATTTGACCACACCAGTTGTGTGGTCTAACCACGTTTGGTTTTTCAGTGAACAACAAACATTTAAACGAAATTGCAAAAAAGGTGCATCTTGAAGATCGAAAGGTTGGGTTAAGTTGCGGATCGCCGCCGTGCATGTTCACGACTCGCGCCTAGTCCGAGATTTAGCCGGTGGGCGCGAATTTCACGGTCGGCTTGTCCGCCTGGCGGCCAGCGCCTAGAGCTAAGGACTCGCTTTCGTCGCTCTGTCTCTCACGCACCTGCACGGGATGCCCCATGAGTGCTAGAGAGACGAGCGACGAAAACCAACTCCGGGACGGTGTGCTGCCAGCCGCGGCTTATCGCCGTGAGGATGAGGCTGGGACGAGCCCCGCACGGAGCCTCCTCGCCCTGCAGACTGATTCCCGAGAGTCGTTTCCGTCGCTCTGTCCCTCTCGCACTCATGGGGAGTCCAGTGAGGGTGCGAGAGAGACAGAGCGACGACTCTCGGAATCAGCCTGCTGCTCGCTCCCTTTTTGCAGTAAATCCGTCATTCCAGTCGTGGTTCGCACGTCAAGTCGTCCGCCGAATCAGCATACAATGCCTTCCGCCCCCTCCCCCCCCCCATTCCCTTTCCACGCTCTCACGTTGTCGACCGATTCCGCGCATCGTCGCTCTGTCTCTCTCGCACTCATGGGGCTTCCTAAGTGGGTGCGAGAGAGACAGAGCGACGGGCGGAGTCTGTTTCCAGCCCGCCACGCCCCGCCACGCCCCCGGTGCATGGCTCTGTCTCGCTCCGTGTCGGCCGGCCTTTCAGTGTCAATGTCTTGACCGCCACCCGTTACGTCAGCGACGTCAGCCGTGCTCCGCAGGGGGCATTGCCTGCCCTGCCTCGCGCGAACAAGAAACAAAACGTCTCTTCTCTGTGATGATGGCCGGCGAGTTTAGGCAGAAATTTGTGTCATAAGAAAAAAATTGTAGTGTTTACGAAAATTCTTTGAATCTACGATTAAAAAAATGGTCAAAAATACCCTGCTGGCTCCATTAAACGTTTCGTTTCGCATTAATTTTCCTGAGCGTTTCCTGAGTGTTGGATGGTTTCCGGTTTCCTTTTACGTTTTCGCCATTATTTTCTCTCTTAAATCTGCGATGCAATTTTTTTTACAAAGGTTACGTTAGGTTATAATAGAAGCATCTGCATGGTCGAGGCATTTACGAACATAATTGTAATTAAAGAGACCTCTTTAATTTTACAAAACGAAAGCAACAAGCTTCCTGAAATGGTAAGTACCCTTCTAACACTGCAATGAAACACCGCCCCATTATGCAAAAATAAAGAAGCTCCTTTGAAAAAAAAAAAAAAAACTGTTTGGTTCCGCGAAGATGAAGGTAGTTACCATAGAACCAACTAATGTGAATTCAATCGTTTGAAAGATAACTTTGTCACGCTCATTTGAACACGACGTTGACATTCGTTTGACTTTTGATCCACGTTCAAACGAATGAGACACCCTGATCAAACGGCCGTGGAGTGTCACGATCGAGCGAAATGTGACGTATCCTATTCGAACGAGCCAGACAAAAGTCACATTTTGTTGACTCTACAGTGTAGGTGCCACGGGGACGTCTTTTCGTTTAAATCGGTGCCCAGCAATTAATGGACCAAGTCAACGCCCCCGCGGCCTTGTGGAAGTTCTCACCGGCCGCACGACAGCGTGCGCGTCTTCGTTAATACTCGTTTCCGCGCGCAGCACATGCTCCTGGCTTCTTACTCACAAGTTTTGGTCTTTCCTGTATCCCGAGTTTTCGGCCTGAACGATGTGCGGTACGACAAAAGCAAACGACTCCGAAAAAAAAACTTCCTCTAAACCTTAGGAAGTACTCTCAGCATATGTATTGCACATACATACGTATTAAAGGTACATAGTATTTAGTTTGTTACAGGAAGTAACAGTTCGTAAATTACGAAGTATTTCCATTGTAAGTTCCTTATGCTCTAATTACTTTGCCATGACGTTTTTCTTTGCTTGGCCTACAATAGTTTGTGAGGTTTTCGAGAGCAAACATCCCAAATTATGAAAAATTCTACAAAATTCAAAATATTTTTCAATCTTAAAAGCTCACGAATCACGTATTTCATACATTTGTAGGGGTGTACTCCAAAAAAAGAAATGCGTTGGGCGTTCCCTTCCCTTGCAGTGGCCACGCCCTGCCGCTGTGTGCAGAGGGCGGCGGAGAACTTAGGGTATTTGCATGCCCGGAGTCACGCCACCCAGTTTGAGGAAACCTGGTCCTGTCCGTCCGTCCGTCTGTCTGTCCGGCTGTGTATGCCTGTCTGCCAGTCACCCAAACCGTTCCGCTAATCTGCAGCCGCGCTGCTCGAAGCCAGCCAATGAATGACAAACGTAAATTCATCGCCCGTCTGCAGGTTGCATCGTTTCAAATCATTCTGAGAGTGCATTAAATTGTTTTAAGGTGTTTCCTCGATTCCCCCCACCCCCATACCCCCACCCACAAACACGACCGATAAAAATGTTGGGAAGAAAAACGTTTTAGATCTATATCACCAGAACGCCTTTCTGACGACACTGAAAATTTTGGTTGTCACTGATGGCAGTTTCAAGGATAACTTTCCTGACAAGGATGCCACAAAAGCATTCGATGACATAGTTGTAATGCCCATGCAATAAGTATAGGAGCTATGATGACATTGTCATCATTTGCAAGTGGTGAAAAAGTCATCAACGATTTTAACATCAAGTGACAACAAATTTTTGCAGTGCATTCTCTTGATTTTATTTTTATTTCCTCACAAGCTTTTCGTCGCAGAGAGGAAAACAAAAACAAGACCTTGACGACGCCGGTGAATAAGAGTGGTCCTACGGGTGAACGCGTTTGGGCCTTTTCCCCCTTCGAGTCAACGTTCCGGCCGAGACATACGCCGGCCCGGCGACGGTCGGCCTCGGCGAGCCGAGCCAAGAGCCGAGTGGGACGAGCGAAACGGTTTTGCGAGGTGCAGCCCCGCGGTGCCACATTACATGTCCAAGTCTGTCACCAGGTCTGGGCCCGTTCCAAACAGTCCAACCGGACCTGTCCGGCCACACCGGCACATCGGCACACCGGGCCTGGCTGAGCCATGCCTGTGCCAGTGTGGCCGACAGTCAGTATGGAGTCGCGACGTCCCAGGAAAGCCATGAAGGCGCGGACGCTACAGAGGGCTCCTTCAAGACCATGTTTCTCTACGCGTGGCCTCGTGCGTGAAGTTCTCCGGACGCTGGCGAGTGCTACGTTAAGAGAGGACTTCAGATTGCACCAGAATCATTTATATGCGTGAGACCTCATGCAAGGTTCGCAAAAGATTGCTACGCCAAGGGGGAACTTCAGGATCGCGTCAGAATCATGTTCCTTGCGTATGACACCCAGCACGTTTCCGGACTCTGAGGAGTGCTACGCCAAGAGGGGACTTCAGATCGCACCAGAATCATGTTTCGTTGCGCACGGACTGCGACGTGAAGTTCAAGTACCTCTGGCAATTTTTCACAGGACAGCAGGACACTGATTCATGGGGCATTATTCTTCCACAAATTCACCAAGCGTGTTCCCGGCGTTCCGAGTGTGCTGCTTGGTCGGGGGCCGCTGCCCCAACTGACCCGCCGTGTACAGCCTCAGGCAAAAGTGTGGCACCACGACTGTGGTTCAGAATTGTTCAAGTCCTGTCAATATTTGAGCCAGTACGACTACAAATGAGCAAGTTCACGTGTTTCCGGTCAATTTGGCGGCTCTTGGCTTCCAGCCCTAACCTGCTCCGAGGAAAAAAACCTAGTCGCTGAAATGCCCTATTTGAACCAAACGTGACGCACATTGGACCAGAAGACCGGTGGATGTGGCCAACTCTAGACGCGTTTGGAGCACCAGAGTCCTTTAACAGGACTCGACCTGAACGACCCCATCAGTGGTCACTACCTCACCGATGGATTCATCGTTTCCAAAAGCAATCCATTGGCGGGGTCACACGTTCGGTTTGAGTGACACTACGTACAGCTCAAAATCCGTCCGGGTCCCCGCCGGTCTTCTGGCCTACTGTGCGGCGGCGGCGGTTGCACTACAAGGGTGGTGTCGGTGGTGTACGGGACTCACCAGGGCGAGGAGCTTCATGCTGACGAGGAGGTCGGCGTGCCGGCGGCGAGGAGCTCGGGACGAGTTCGGGGCGGGCACACGCACGTGACGAGTGTGTGAGAGTACCGTCACCGGGCGGATCCGCGAGATCACTAGCACCGCACGACGCACCACGCTGGCCACTTTGAGCCGGGCCGGCCGGCGCCCCCCTCCCCCTCCCTCGCCGGGCGGCCGCCCCGCCGCCACGGCCCACGCCGCCAGCAGGCGGAGAGTCGCTTTCGCCGCTCTCCCTCGCACTCATGGCGAGGCCGTTGGAGGTGCGAGAGACACAGAGCGACGAAAACGACTCTCGGAATCAGTCTGCAGGGCACCGGCGGGGACCACACCGCCAGGGCCGAGGGGGCCACGCCGGCCGCGCCGTTGTCGGGGTCCGGGACGACGCGTCCGCCTGCCGGCCGGCCCCGGCCGGCTTGCCCGGTCCTGCCCCGCCGGACCCCAGCGAGCCAGCGGCAGCGCGGCAGCCAGCGGCCGGGCGGAGGGCGAGGCTGAGGGGGAGGGGAAGGCCGAGGGCGGCCCTGGCCCTGGCGGGGCCCTGGCGGCCGGGGGGACACATGCCAACACACGGCTTGACCCGCGCAACCACGCGCAACTATTTGAATTTCGCGGCCGGAATGCCACGGACGGTCTCCAGCCGGATAACTCTGCAAAGAAATAACTAGCTGTTTTGCAGAATGGTGTACTCGTTGAGTACTACTATAGAGACTCACTGAGTTGTACTATTGATACTCATTGAGTACTACTGTTGATACTCATTGAGTTCTACTATTGATACTCATTGAGTACTACTATTGATACTCATTGAGTTCTACTATCGATACTCATTGAGTACTACTGTTGATACTCATTGAGTTCTACACGGTTAAAGTACCGCCTGGGATTCCCAGGCGGGGCCTGGAAAATAGGCCCTTTTTCCCATGATGAGCCTGGGAATCCTAGGCGGTACTTTTGCCGTGTACTATTGATACTCATTGAGTACTACTATTGATACTCATTGAGTTCTACTTTTGATACTCATTGAGTTCTACTTTTGATACTCATTGAGTACTACACGGCCAAAACGGTTCCTGGTTTTCCCAGGTAGTCTGTAGTAAAGATATATGCAATTTGCAGGGAGTTCCTGGGAAAACCGGAAACCGTTTTCCCGTGTACCATTGATACTTGTTGAGGACTACCCAAGCAGTGGAACTGTCTGTAACACGAGGTGCCCTAGGTGTACGTCAAACCGCGTCTTGTCGTAACATGCTTCGGGATTCCGACAATCCACGCCTGGCCCGGCGTTAACACCTACCTGGGCCGTAAAGCGCCGGCCATCGACACAAGCAAGACAGCCTTTGCATGGTAGACGATTGCCCTTTCAGATACTGTGTAGTCAGTGCGAGTCAGTGGGCTCGCAGGTCAAACTGACTGACAAAAATTTCTACCCCCTAAAGTAATCGACTTCGCTTCTCACACAGGCAACAATTCATCTTGGAAAAATCTTTGAAGAAGTAGGACCCAGGATCAGCTCTTCAATAGTCCCGCCATTTCAAGCGTAACGTCCTCCAGCGTAACTTGAACTTCGACTCAAGCATAGAGTTACGCTTCAGTTTTGAATTCAGCTGTATGCAATTTTTTGTCGCACTCTCAGCACGTTACTGACCTTTTCCCTGTAACTACTGATTCGTTAAAGTAAGGATAATACTTAGTGTTTTTGAAGTATGACTAATCCTTCGTTAATTTTGTTCACGAAAACAATTGTCCGTACACTATTCAATAATTCCTAAGTAATTCTTTAAGAAACGAAACGTACGAGTTATGGTTGCACAAATTACTCGCACAAGTACTGACAAATTAAGCAAAAAGTTAGAAACGTGCTGAGAGTGCAGTTTTCATCTCCAATCTTCACACTTTGAGGTGTTGGCCAGACTTGCTCCCAACGGTGCTGCCATGGCGTCGGCTCGATTCGTCTTTTAGCACCGCGACCACGCGTTGGTTTGGGGGGACTCACGGACGAGGCTTTAATGGTGCCAGAACATGAAATGCATCCTCCGCGGAATGCATTTTACTCCAGCCTTTATCTGAAATTCAGCGAAACGGGGCCATTAAATCGCTTTTCGAGCGAGGGGCTTTCAATCACAGTTTTACGACTAGGCGTGTGCCTCCGCCCTGTCTCCGAAAAGTTCCGCTTCCGCCTGCCGCCGATTCCACCGACGATTGTTTCTGTTTTTTTGGACACTCTTTCAGAAATTGCGTACTTTTACGCCTTTCTCCAGAGTACACTCTAGATGCCTTGGAATGAAATTTGAGCTACACTAAACATTTCTGACATTGAATTTGGCAGCATTGTTCGAAGAGATTTGTGCGAGGACTTGTGCAGCAAACACAATATGCACTACATTTGATTACATGAACGCTTCAATGACGTGTTTCTACTACGATTCAGTTCTACATTTTAAAAATCTTCCAGCGAAGTTTGAGCTATCTCTCAGTGAATTCGGCGCAAGCATGATGCGAAGCTTCTTCGTAATACGAATCTGTTTCGAACTATCACTGCATACAAAGGAAATCCACCTTAATACGAAGAAAACCCAAGTTTCTATTATGCTTGTGCCATCACTCACTTCGTCTATGGTAAATTTCTTCGTCAGACATTTAGAGTGTCAGTGAAGGCTTTGGTGAAACTCGCGTTACAATCCTTATCTTCAGTCCAACGCCGCCCTGCCTTGCAGTTTCAAACTAAAAGTCTTTCGTAAGAACCGTGGCTCAGCAACCACGTTAAACCTAGAGTCCGGGCTGTTCTTCCAACGGTTAGGAGAGCAACACAGATTGGACTTAAAATCCGTACCTTTCTGCTGAGACACTTGGGCGGCTAGCCACAGAGTAGGCCATTCCGCTGGTTGGAAAAGAGGAAGAAAAGAAGTACATACTTCCGTCCCCTCGCCTGCGGGGGGACGGAACTTCCGCTGCCCCTCTCGTCCCCCCGCAGGCGAGGGGACGGATGTTGTGTACTTCTTTTCTTCCTCTTTTCCAAGCAGCGGAATGGCCTATTGAGTAAACCAGCCCAGGTTCCTGGTTCCACTTGTTTCGCCGGCCGGCACTTGTTTTTTCCGGGGGTTTTGAGTCACTCCGCCCAAGGTCCTTCATTTCCGGCCTTTTTCCCAGGGTGGCCAGCGCAGTGGCCAGCTCACGGCGGAAACGTCCGGTGACACTCAGACTTCCCCACGGAGTGAGGGGTTGTGTGGCGGAGGGGGGGGATACTGCAGGAGGACGGGGGGAGGGGGAGAAGGGGGAGGGGGCGGCCTCGACCCCGGGCACCGCGCCGAGCTTCATTACCACCTCAAGGATCGGTTCGTCGCTCTGTCTCCCTCGCACCCTCAACGCGCCCCGTGAGTGCGAGAGAGACAGAGCGACGGTCCCTCGGAATCAGTCTGCTGCACCGCCCTGCGTCGCCCTGCGTCGTCAACGAGATTAAAGGTCGGTATGGCCAGTGCGTGCTTAGCCGACAGGAAGCGGCGCCGAATCTGGAGAGGGAGAGAGAGAGAGAGAGAGAGAGAGAGAGAGAGAGAGAGAGGGGGGAGTGGACGGAGCCGAGGGTGGGCACGAAATTAACCCGTAGCGTAATTTTATCGTTTTAGTATGACACATGTAATGTCCGCGCTGATGTGCGTCATGAGGTTACAGCGGTGCACAGCTAAATCTGAAGCCGAAGCTGATAATGACGCGCCCACCTGAACGTGTGACCCCACCAATGGAGTGCTCGTTCGGGGAGCAAGCCATTGGCGGGGTCACACGTTCGTTTCGAGTCCCATTTAGCGACTCTGGAGCTCAAAGCGCGTTTAGAATATTGGCCGCCTCCATACCAGTCTCCTGACCCACCGTGGTAGGCTACGAAGAGCTTGGGGCAACCTTCTTGAAGCGTAATAACGCTAAGGACGCCTTGGTTTTGGCAGTGTGCCCGCGCCAAAGTGCGACATGAGGTTGCAAACGGGTGTTGTTCGCGCGAATGACGACAAAATGACCCCCCGGGCCGTGACCCTGGAAGGAGACCCTTCCGATGGGCGTCCCGTTGGGGCGCTGCTGAACGCGCTGCAGACTGATTCCGAGGGTCCATTTCGTCGCTCTCTCGCACTCATAAGGAGCTTCGTGTGGGTGCGACAAAGACAGAGCTTCGTGTGGGTGCGACAAAGACAGAGCTTCGTGTGGGTGCGACAAAGACAGAGCTTCGTGTGGGTGCGACAAAGACAGAGCTTCGTGTGGGTGCGACAAAGACAGAGCTTCGTGTGGGTGCGACAAAGACAGAGCTTCGTGTGGGTGCGACAAAGACAGAGCTTCGTGTGGGTGCGACAAAGACAGAGCTTCGTGTGGGTGCGACAAAGACAGAGCTTCGTGTGGGTGCGACAAAGACAGAGCTTCGTGTGGGTGCGACAAAGACAGAGCTACGAAAACAACTTTCGGAATCGGTCTCCTCGCCGCTTGCTGGGGCGGTGCGCCCGCCCGGCCCTGTGGGCTGATTCCGAATGTCGTTTTCGTCTTTCTGTCTCTCTCGCACTTATGAGAAACGCCCCATGAGTGCGGGAGAGACAGCGACGAAAACGACTCTCGGAATCAGTCTGCTGGCTGGTCCCAGGGTTCCCGTTACCTCGGTGCCTGCGGCTGCCCCGGCCGTGCTAGTGCGTAAACACTGGTCATCCCGGCGCGCCGGCCGCCTGATTCTCCGTCCGATTTGACGCGCCGCTCCAGCAGGGCTCCGGCACACAGTGGACTTACCAGAAGACCGGTGGAGGCGGTCGAAATCCCGGACGCGTTTTGAGCTCCAGAGTCGCTAAACAGGACTCGAACCGAACGTGTGACCGTGACCCCACCCAAAGAACAGAAAAAGGTCTTGATGATGTCAAATGATTGGTGACAAGATGACATCATTGCCGACGGTCAAAGTTAGCGATTTTTGACGTCAAGAGCACGTCAATTGATATCCTTTTATTGAATATGATATCTTATGATATGAATTTGACACAAAATACCGATTCAAATTCTAGTCATGAGGGGTCACTGATGCAGAGCGTGACTAAATTTTTTCAATTTTAGCTCACTTGACGTCAATATGACCCTTTCCTGTTCTCTGGGCACCAATGGATT